TTTGTTTGCCAATGCGCAGCAGCCTGAGAGATCACAAGCCGTGGCTTCACATTGTCATCCGAGATCTGTGTTACATCTTGGTGTCCCTTTTCTGTCTGTAACTTTCAGAACAGCAGATGCTCTCCATGCTGTCAATAGTTAAAAGTAACAAAGAGCTCCAGGAAGAAAAAGAAGTTCCTTTGTGAACACAAACTCCTTTTCCAGTCACTGCTTTCATTTTTCTTGCTGTGTAGCAGTCAGGTCTTAGAGTTAGTTCTCCTCTCTCTGTCCTGTCATCCCTCTCCTCTATTTCCTCTTTCCTCCTCATACCATTTTCAGACAACGACCATTTTGTCCCTGTTAGTTGTCCCTATCCCTGGCCTCTCCCCCCTTCCCTTCTCACCCTCTATCTCTCACCGCTTTGTCCTCTTTTCTGCCCAGCATCTGCACCGAAGCAACTTTGTCCACGGAGAGCTTGAAAAGGCATCTTGAAAAGGCTTGGCTTGGCAGTCTAGGACGGAAAACAAATTAGGAGTTCACAACTTCAAACAGAGCCTCACCAAGGCAACCCCGACTCTTCTGCCAAGGGTTTGCCTCGCTCGCTCTGAGACAGCCCGTGAGAAGAGTTTTAATAAGCACTAGCTCCGTCTGAGGTCCTTTGGTGTAATAAAGAAGGATAGTACTGTATGGCTACTATTATAATCTCCCTTTCATTTGACTGAGGATTTGTTGCCTTCTCAGACTCTGTGCACTTAGTTCCTCGAAAACTATAGTTTTAATTCTGAGCTAAGTCTAAGATGGCGTGCCACGACTGACAGCAGATTAAAGTTTTGTCACTTTATTACACCTTCGTCCAATTTTTAAAGCACCACAAATGAGCAAAAAAAAAAAAAAGTTTGCTGACTGGTCTGGTGTGAGATTTTGCAGCAGATGGAGAGAAAAAAAAAGATGGTCCAAGTTTCTTACACAAGTCTCGACTGTATTCTGAAGCCAAGAGCTTTACTGACTGCCTAAGAAATCTGCCTGAGAAATGTCAGCAATTACTCCTGTCGGCCGTCTTCCTATTCGCGTGTTTACCTAGGAGACTATACCTCGCTTTTATTGATCTGCAGTGTGTAAAAGGTCATGGGATTGAAGATGACAGCAGCCGCAGTAACCATGGAGACTCCCTCCCTCTCTCTCTCTCTCTGTCTACGCCCGAGCACAGAATCAGTCCGAGGGTAAAACTTTGATGCTCGCTGCTTTGTTGCTTTGCAGGTGAGCGGGGTATAATCTCCTTGCTGTTGGTGATATGTGCCCTTGCCCTGTCTTTAGTACAAAGGCGTTGACGCAGGGCAAAAGCTGTAACTCTCTGAGACACATACACACAACCAGCTTAAAGTCTAACCACCCAATCCTACATGCATCATTCAAGGATTGATTTAAGCCGTTTGCGTTGCATTGATGTTTGTTCGCTGCTAGCAGGAAGATTATTTGACAATCTCTCTGGTATTCCTTCAACTTGGATCAGTAGTGTGTGATAAACCTACTTTCTACTGGACAGATTTACTGTAGTGCAGATGTAGTTCCATTGAATTCAGAATACAATTGGCAGCTCAAATATGGTAAATGAATGGCACTCAAATCCACTGTATACTCAGGTGAGGGACCTTAAAAATACACTTTCATTTACATACAGTATAAAGGTTTATTAGCTGGATCGCGAGGGTCAAGGGGCCCCATTCAGGAGCCCATAAAATTAGTCTCTCTGCTGTGCGCTATGTTTCTCCTATACCTCTCTGTTCTGGTGGCATTTTCATGTTTCTACCATATTGTCAGTCTGGTACCCCCTAAAGGGCCCGATGACCTTCACTTTTCTTGGCTGTTTTTGATAGACTTGGAAATTTAGCCTTTAAAATGAATTTGTAAATGCTGGGTGCTTAAAATACTACATTTTATGATTAATTTTAGTTTGACATTAATAAATTGCAGAACATATTTGATCAAATCAAGTTTGTTATACAGCACATTTAAAACAACTGCAGTCGACCAAAGTGTTGTAAATAAAAGAATGACACACAAATATGTAGCAATAGAAAATGTCCACAAATATAAAGCAGAATAAAACTGGCAAGAACAATAACATATGTAAAAAAAGATTATAAAATACTAAAATATTAAAACCACTGCAAACAACCAAAGGCCATTGAGAACAGGTATGTCTTAAGATTTGTCTTAAAAGTGTCAGTGGAGGGGGAGCATTTGATTGAGAGCTGAAGGCTATTCCAAAGCTTTAGAGCAGCTACTGCAAAGGCACGATCTCCCTTACTCACCAGCCTCGATCGTGGGACAATTAAAAGACAATGTTCGGAGGATCTATGAGGTCGGGAGGTGGAATAGGGGCAGAGAAGTTCAACAATATACTGGGGTGCCAGCTCATGTGTGGCTCTAAAAACAAATAAAAGAACCTTAAAATCAATCCCGTATTTGATAGGTAGCCAGCGCAGGGATGCTAGCACTGGTGTAGTGCTGTCTCTTTTTCTGGCACCAGTGAGGAGTCTCGCTGCAGTGTTCAGCACCAGCTGCAGACGAGACCAAGATGACTCCCAGCACCAAGGTACAGAGAGTTGCAATAGTCCAGCCTTGAGGAGATCAGTGCAGTGGTTAGTCTTCATATCATTGTGAGAGATGATGGACTTGAGTTTTGCAATGTTTTGTAGTAGTAGTAGATGCTGATCTACTGTAAGTCCCATTTTGAGTTAGCACCAGCATATTTTTTCCTTTTTTTGGGGACTGATGGTTTCATAGATGATTGACGGTTACAAAGAAGGAGAAAAACAAATCTAGTGCAAAGACGCATTAACCTGTTCAGGTCCCACTACAATTGAGAAGGACCTAATTTTTCTAGGGTGTCTAGATTTATGATGAAGGGCCAGCAGTGGCTCAGGAGGTAGTATTGGCCATCCATTAATCGGAAGATCAGTGGTTCGATCCTCGGCTCCTCCATTCTGCATGTCAAAGTACCCTTGGGCAAGATACTGAATGCCAAATTGCTCCTGATGGCTGTTCCGTTGCTGTGTGAGTGTGTTACTCACCTTGTATGGTAGCCTCAGCCACCAGTGTATGAAGGTGTGTTTGAATGGGTGAATATAACTCATAGTGTAAAAAGCACTTTGAGTGGTAAGAAGACTAGAAAGGTGCTATACATGTGCAAGTCCATTTACCATTTACGATCATGAATTTGTAAGCTATCTCGTGTCTTAAAAAAGGAGAAGAAAAGAAGTGGAAAATCAAATGGAAGTGAGTGCATGTGAATGGTTACCGAGTAGCAGGTAGCACCATGTATGGAGGCCTTAGCCACCAATGTGTGAATGTGTGGATGTGACTTGTCTAATAGCCACTTTGAGTGGTTGGAAGACTAGAAGAGCATTATACAAGTGCAGTCCATTTACCATTACTGTCATACATGTATTACTCCAGCCAAATGGCCATCCATCCATTTCCTGGTTGGATTTCTACAAGCCATTCAGAGTGTTTCACATCATCTGAAGTTGACTGCAGTAGAGCCCAGGCACCCAGGAAGTGTGCTGGGCTTTGAAGCCAATTTTACACAGTGGCCAAAAGTCAAACTACACCACTTGGGTCCGTCATGTGTAGGGATAGACCGATATGGATTTTTTTAGGGCCGATACCGATTTTTTTCCATCACCCTTAGCCGATGACTGATTATGGACTGCCGATTTTCTTGAGCCGATATTTGGGGCCGAAACTGCTTTTGCTCCCTCTATTTACATCAAAAAAATGACACAATGATAACAAATATTACAGGTCTCAAGTTTAAAATAAGAAACATTTATTGAACAGTAAAAAATACTAAAACAAGATGGAAAGTTGAGGTAGAACAGGTAGAATATTATTATTATTATTATACATTCAAATAAAAAAAAGAGTTCAGTGCTCTTAAATCTTCCAGTAATGTCTTTATAAAATAAACAAATATTTAAGCTGAAGCATAAATAAAACAACAACTACTGTACACAGTAGGATTCGCTGCATGTGCGCTGCAGGGTCTTCCGGCAACACAGAGCTGCCCGTGGATGCCTGTCTGTAAATCATGCCAGGGAAAAATAAATCCGCGAACCCACGCGCGTATCGGCCGATGCCGATACAAGTAAAAAACTCAAATATCGGCCCGATATATCGGCCGGCCGATGTATCGGTCTATCCTTAATGGAAGGTGCTACATAAATAAAGTTTATTGTTATTAAAACATTGTTGTTAGTTGCTGCTATCACTCTGTCTGTCCATAGTGTGAAGGCATCTGTTCTTTGCGTGAACACAGGAGGGCAAACAGGAGCGAGGGGGACAAACCCACAGCTCCTCCTCTGCCAAACTACATTCCAAAAATGACCTATTGTAGAAAGCACACATTAAACTTTACTATGACAGTGTTATCATGTTATTATGGGATATATATGTGTGTGAACATGAACCCTACAGTCACACACTCCTGTGTCCACTGGTGTAAATGTCCACTGAAAACACCACCAAACTGAACTGGTGTTACTGTCAAGTTATTTTGTTTTATGGTGCAGGGTGAAGGCTTCAGACAAGGTGATGAGTGATACATGATTCAGGGTGCAGGTGCATGATGGGAGCCCACCTGTACTCCTGAATGACAGCAAACAAACTGCAAATGGAAGCAAGATTCCACTAACAGGTAGACTCACCTGTCACCTGTAACACCAGCTTCTGTCTCACAGGAAATTATGTGCTGTCTCTCAGAGGGACATCATTTCAGTTTAAATTTGAAAAGACACGTTGAGGACGGTGAGTGGGTGCACGCGGGGTGCACGGAGAGAACGAGGAAAACTTGGTCCCCTCGTCAACAGGACTTTGGTTCACTCACACATGTAACACACACACACACACACACACACACACACAAAGCTGAAGTTAACCGAGCCGTGCGGGACAGCAGCGGCCGCCCGCTCATCCCTCCTCTCCCTCCGCACAATCTGTCACAAAAAGCGGACACTTACCTTCACCGACAGTCCGTTCAGCACCGGAGGAGGAGGAGGAGGAGGAGGAGGAGGAAGCTCGGCGGTCAGCGTGTCCAAAAAAAAAAAGCCTCCAAGAAAACACTTTGTTTGTGTTGTTTTTGTTTCCCGTGACAGAAATTAAGTCCCGTCCTGGTGTCGCTTTGTATCCGGACTCACAACGTGGAGTGGAAGCTGGTGGCGGAAGCGGCGGCGGCGGCAGCAGCGACGGTCTCCGGTCAGCCTGCTGTCAGCGCTCAGCGCAGGGGGGAGCGGAGGTTGCGGCTGCGCATGCGCCCACTGACTGCTACTGCGAAACGAAGATCGTCTAATGGCAAGATGGATCACGTGGATGTGTTACAGACATGAGGTCTCATTCTCAGTGAGAGCTTTTAGTAATTAGTTTTTTTTTTCTGATTTGAGGGGATGGAGGCAGGGGCGTGAATATAGACTGTGCAGGCAGTGGGGCCCCTGGGGTGGAGGGGCCCCTAGGGATCACCACCTTGGAAATACACGTGTGTGCAAGGATACATTTTTTTTCTTTTAAAGAGAATATTATCAATTTAAAATAATGCTGTTTTCTATATATGTCCTCAAAAAAGACAAACCCATCTGCGTCAAGGGTTTTTTTTTTTTTTAATAGTCAGTAGCTGGCCTCGTGTCACCAGGCTCTTCACGTAAAGTGAAGAGCCTGGTTTCTATTCACTCTGGTTCCGGTCTAGAGAGCGGATCCGGAATTCACCAAATTCACCAAAGTAGAAGTGTTCACCAAAGTAAAACTTTAAATTCTGGCGCACCATCGATCTGGGGTGATGAGGGGTGTAAGAAAATTGATTAACTTAATGGCTTGGGGCTTTTCTTGTAAATTATATTCTTTAAATTAAAAAGTTTCACCGCATTTTTATTGGCTTGGTGCTTTTATTTTGACGGAAAGGTGCATCCATCGAATTCCGGATCCTATCTCACTCGCCCTGGTTCCGGTTCCTTACCAAAACGGCCACTAACGGCCCCAGACTAGTCAGTAGCTATCTAAAACAAAATTATACGCTTTTTCTATATAAACTATAAAATATATAAATAGACTAAACTATTCAATTAAATGATTATTTTTACTTGATTACATTCCATGACTTTTCCAAAACTTTTAATCCTTTTTATTAATCCCAGGACTTTTCCAGGCCTGGAAAATGTGATTGTGCAATTCCATGACTTTATCAAGGTTTTCCATGACCGTGGGAACCCTGAGGAGGTAGATTTTGAAAAAAAAGATGTCCTCATATTCAATTCAATTCAATCCAGCTGACACTGGGTGAGAGGCAGGGTTCACCCTGGACAGGTCACCAGACTATCACAGGGCTGACACATAGAGACAGACAACCATTTACACTCACATTCACACCTACGGACAATTTAGAGTCACCAATTAACCTGCATGTCTTTGGACTGTGGGAGGAAGCTGGAGCACCTGGAGGAAACCCACGCTGACACAGGGAGAACATGCAAACTCTGCACAGAAGGGCTCCTGCATCCGAGATCGAACTAGGAACCCTCTTGCTGTGAGGCGACAGTGCCACCCCTCAATTCAATTTGGTTTTCATATCACAAAACATAATTTGCCTCAGAGGGCTTTTCAAGATAAGACACACTCTGTCCTTGGACCTTCGCTTGGGATAAACTCCCCCAAAATACCCTTGAACAGAAAAACGATGTTAGATCTCTCTAGAAGAGCAATCGATGAGTGCTAAATGGGAACATTGGGCTTATTTTTAATTGTGTGTTAAGTGTGTAATAAAATATAAGACTGTTTACTTCAATGCCTGAACAATGCAACATCTGTTAAGTATTTTGTAACTCTGTGGGTGAGGGGTCACTGTTCGAGTCTAAAACTGTTCATTTTAATGCCTGAACATGTGCTATAAAAGCTTTGTAATTTGTTCATTTTGTAACTCTGTGTGAAGTTTCCGTTCTCCATAGTCCAAGCTAGGAATGTCCTGTTTGTAGGTCTGTAGGAACATTTTGTTACACGTGACTGGCCTGTGTGAAATGTTGCCATGATACAATAATAAAGTCCCAATGTCCTCAAACGAGTACTTCCTAATCACCAGTATCACAGCTTGTTCCTGTTGCTAAAATTGGTCAAATCTGTTGCCGTATCAAACTACAAAGGCATAAATAAACAAGTTTCGACCATTTAATGTGATCACGTTTTATACCTTGTCCACTTTTGTGTCAGGATCAGCTGCAGACTGACTTGGCAGAGATGACTGCCAAGTCTACAACACAGACTAGTCTACATTACAGTTCATTGGTGTTATCACTACAGTCCACCAGTCTGCCACTAAGCTATATTTTATATTCTATTTTATTTTGATTATATTTAACATATTCTCTCTTTTATTCCCTCCAATTTAACTTGTGCATTATTTCATGTTTATGTCTTAGATTCTCATTTTTACTCGCCTGATTTTCTTTTCGTAAATATTTAATGAGCATTGTTGGAGGGAGTCTGAGAACAAAGAATTTCATTGTCAACACCGACTGCTTCACTGGAACTGTCGCGCATCTGACGAGTAAAGAACTCTGAACATTAACAATGTCAGAAAATGGTGAAAAATACACAACACGATTTGCTACGTTCAAATTACTTGTTTTATTCCTCAGTCAAAAACCCAAAAAAATAAAAGAAATAAAACCATGATAAAGTGGATAAAGTTTACTGCAACAGAGGACCAGCAACTGCTTTCATGTAAAAAAAGCCGGAGCTGGGGCCTTTTTGAAAAGTGTATTTATTTATTCATTTTTTTCTTGTGAATACAAAAGTGAATGCAAATCAGTAAATTAATTGTTGTCTAAAAGCAACCCCAGCTAATAAGACTTTTAGGCCTTAATACACTATAATTTCCCTCTACTACTAAAGTTCACTGTGAGAAACACATGAAATATATTCATTACTTTAATATTCCTCAACATTTAATACATATTTTGTCCTATGGAGGCTGCCATTAGTTAAACTGTGCATTGCATTCTCATTCGATGATGTAAATTGGTTGCACATGAGATCTGAGCTAGTAGCACTACTGTTTCTGACCGTTACCTGTTGCAATTTGTTTTACCGGCTCATAGGAGAAAAAATATTACAGTGCCACACTGTGCTGCACTTGGTTGTAGTTTCCAGGTTGAAAGGTAATAAAAGAAGAGGAAAGAGGAAAGAATAAACAAAATAAAATAAGATAAAATAAAATATAATAAGATGAAATGAATAAGAAAAAAATGCTAGTAAAATAAATATAATAATAGTAATGATAATCCAGTTTTTATATGTTTTGTCTACAGATGATTTATTTTTGTTATTACTATTATTATTATTATTATTATTATAATTACTGCAGGTGGGCTGTGTTTCTTTATTTTGATGACACTCGACACGTTTCAGCTCTGCAAATAATTTACGTAGTCTAAATACAGTAGCCCACAGGCCTCATTATTCTGCTGACATTTATAAAACAATGTAATTCTGTTCATCCCTCATACACTGAGGTTGTAATTGGGCCTGCAGGGCTCCCGTAGAGCAGAGTATTGAGTAACGGTCCCTGTGATATTTTCATGCACAACACAACACAAGTGTTGATGGAAAAGCACAAACAGACGGGAGTTTCCTGCAGTGTGTGTGTCGGGAGGTATTTTGATGAACTCCTTGACATTGTGCTGAAAATAAACCCAGAAATTATAACTGAAGTGCCTCCATATCGAGACTGCCACTACAGCCGTCTGAGCTCAAGATTAATGGACGATCAGCCAAAACTATTTTTACTCTGTATACAAACTTTCCCCTTAAATGCCCGCAGCCGACTAGAGGCAGCAGGACACATCTGAAGCCTTTAATTTGCACGCTGCCGTGCCATTACTACCGTGTGTCTGCACACTGTTTACTTTTAAATTATGTGCAACCAAAACAGCATGCTGCAAAACAACCACCCAAACCTCTGCGGCTCCTCAGACTGGTTGGTTTGGCATGTTGGACACGTAATTCAAGAAGTGGAGACAAATTGTATCGCAGCCCACAAGACAGTCAGTCACTGCACTCAACAGTTACTGTACTGTGTGAATCACTGTGTCACAAAATCGTAATATGTATTCAGAGAAAACATGAGATGACTGGATGTTTATCTCCACTGACTGAACTTTGAAAGCCACATCATCCGTCTTTGGTATCACACTGCATCTGCAATGCTGCATTATTTTCATACTTGGTGGAGCGGTTTACATTATGCAACACTAACTGCACAGCAGATTAAAGTTATGTGACGGGTCCACCCTGTCTGCTATAATTATGTTTATACACTTACAGCATGTGATTAAGTTTAAGCTGCAGAAACTCTATGGAACAGATCGGGAAAAGTTTAAATCTTGAAGTCAAATATTGAAAACTTAGTTGACTATTGAATATTTAACAAAAAAAACAAAAACACTTTTAAACCAAGAGCTCAGAGTGGCCTGAACAGAACCATAAAAACATTAATCATGCTCTAGGTGGGCAACCTTTACTACTATTATTGGCTAAAAAAGAAGAAAATAAATGTGTCTGGAGCTGTAAAACATATCTGAATAAAGGTATCAGCCTATTAAGTCTAAATGAGCTTTCATTAATATGATTTACTACAAGATGGCTACTCTACAGTGGACTTTTTATGACTATTTATTATTTTAATTTTGCAGCGCTGGTGGTGAAAGCAAATGAATTTGTCCACACACTGTTAAATCTCTATTTTCCTCAAAGACCTTTTCTTTTTTTAGATTTAATCCATAGCTAGCCTTGCTAAAGAGATTCCAGGCAACTACTGCTACTGGAGACGTAGGTTGCCTACCCCTGGATTAGGTGCTACAAAAAAAAATATTGTAGGAAACTAGAATTACATTCTCGCCGTTGGCTCCGTGCACCAGACAAGTTGCAGTCACAGTTCATGTCCATGTCAGTGAAAACATGGATGCTTCACACGCAGAAGATCTATACAGTCAGCACAGTTTCAAGATCTGTGTCACCAGTTCAGTATCTGACCAAATGTCTCCCCTTCTGTTCCTGAGATATGACGCTGGTTAATGGCCAGAAAAGTGTTTACACAGAACAGCATGATGTCACAGTGAAGTTGACCTTTGACCTTTTGGATGTATGATGCATTGATATTTTGGGAGACCTGGATACAGCATGCGCTGCCAGGCCCTGTTCATTCCTATGAAGGTTGCTCAGCTGTACATGAAGCCGGAAAAGTGTTTTTGCAGAA